TGCATAACTCAGGCGATTAATTTCACATGTTTCCATGTGCTTATTTGATGTCATATCCTAGCCAGTTAACACATCCAGTGACCACACTCCTTCAACCTTTCGTTCTGCAGGCACAGGAGCTACTGATTAGCATCGCCTCCTTGGAGACTACCGTTTCAAATCTTGAAAAGGAGCTAAATGATCTGTACTACCATCTTTGTCACGAAAGGAATGAAAGGTTACTTGCTGAAAATAATCAGGGATGCTTGCTGTCTACATCCTCAGATGAGCACCAATCATTGTCCACTTGCACGTGTACGTGGGAAGAAGTAAGTATCATCTGAGTAAATTTTTTGTTAGCTTCTTTCTGCTATGGGAATCACTGACAGCTTCTTGATTACCAATCTTAGCACATATCATCGTTGAGAGATTTGAAGTTTGGGGGGTCTGAATCAATGAGGTCAACGAGACAGGACTTATTCCCTGAGCTTGAAGATGACCAGGATATGGGAGAAGATCCTGAAGGTCAACAGATGGTTTCTTTAAACAGGCTGCTAGAAAAGCACCGAGATTCTTCTTTGAATAGACTTCTTGAAAAGCACCGGGATGAAGAGGTCCCTTTCATGCCTACCTTACCTCTATAGTTTTAAGAACCAACTTTGGAACATATTAGAGTATCAATAATTTGTTTATCTTTCAGCAGATGCAAGAATCATGCTCCGTGGAAAATGAAGGCAATGAAGATGAGCAGCTTGACGCCTTATCCTTTGAACAGTCCATTCTAAAGATAACTAGCATGAAAGGAGGGAATCTTTGGAGCGACCCAAATGAGCTCTCCGAGGAGATGGTTCGCTGCATGAGAAACATTTTCCTACGCTTATCTGAATCCTTGAAGATATCGCCGAAGGCATCTTCTGATTGTTCATCTTTCTCAGCAGAGCGTCTATCAGGCTCCACATTAGCATCTTTCTCAGATTCATCCATAATGCCTTCAATGCTACGGAGTCCTTCAGTTGACTCTAACCACAACAACAAGACAATGAAGGAAGTCAGGAACTTTGATCCATATAAAGTTAATGGAAAGGAAACCCGAAGAGATATAGGAAACTATCGTGCAGCAGCTGAAGTATCTTGGATGTCTGTTGGAAAGGTTCAACTCGAATATGCATCTGAAGCTCTAAAGAAGTTCAGGTTTGCTGCTGCAACCTTGGCTAAACCTATGAGTCCTAGATATATCACATGTTTACAAACTGTAGAAATGTTAGTGCATATATACATAATTTTTTTCTGAACGAACGGGCACGAGACTGTGCACCATTTCTATTAATATAGGAGGAGTGCATATATACATAATTGTTAGCATACGATGTAGACTTTTAAATTTTGTTTAACCTTGTTAATGCTCTAAAAGAATACGCAGACAACTGAACCAGTCTAGGGATTTGGATTGGGGAACAAAAGGATGCTCTATTCTTGTCCTCTTGCAGTAAAGGAATTAGTTTCAAAATTGATTTGCGTCTATTTCTCTCTCATGTTGAGCCGTTAAAGAACTCCTGTCAGCATGAAATTTGCTAGTATGTTAATGAATTGTGGAACAGTCTTTTCCGTCTCCATTTTGACACACTTCTTGTGGTTTATGTTACATTTCTGACCCTGGATCTTAAAAACTGCGAATGAAAGTTAGTGTATCTTAGGGGGCTGCTTGGTTACCAGCCAGCGCCTGCCACCGCCACGGAAGCTGCGCCACAGTTTGTGGCGAAGAAAATCTCCGCCACACTCGCCACGGAAAAGCGCGTAGAAAAAAGTGCGGCGGCGTCGTGAACCAAACACTGTCTATGTGCTGTGGCTGCCATCATTGTGGCGTGGCGAAGGACGGCCGGCAACCAAACAGCCTCTTAGTCGGTGTTTGGATGAGGAGGCCACTCTTGGAATAGAAAGATTTTGATCCAAATCCTCCATATTCAAACAAGATGGGCGGGCCTGGTGCAAGCGGTAGAGTCTTACCGTCTGTGACCATAAGGTCCCGGGTTCGAGTCGCGGTCTCCTCGCATTGCACAGGCGAGGATAAGGCTTGCCACTGACACCCTTCCCCAGACCCCGCACAGAGCGGGAGCTCTCTGCACTGGGTACGCCCTCCGTATTCAAACAAGAACTTATGAATCAGTGAATCCCCTACATCTCACAACAAACATATTCTTCGCTTTTTTTAAATTTGCATGGTGCGAATGCTGCTGCCCTACATTCTAGACCATGTGTACTGTGTTTGTTTGTTATTTTGAATGCAGGTGATATACTGATATTTAAGCACGGATTTTTTTTTTGCTCAATATTTTGCAGATTTCTAGTGGAACAGTTGTCAAAGGTTAATCCTAGCTGTATGAATCGTGATCAGCGGCTAGCCTTTTGGATTAACTTATACAATGCTTTGATAATGCATGTAAGTATGACCTGGTTACTTAAGATGCTGGCTTTGCAGACAAGGACAGGAATTAAATTTCTGTTTATAATTGGAAATAGTAACTCGTTTCAATTCATTGCATCTGTCCTCAACATTAAGTGTCATGCACTCACCAATTGCTTACCGTGGCATTTTTTTATCGGAATCTATTAGGCATATTTGGCATATGGAGTACCTCGAAACGACATCAAGCTTTTTTCTCTAATGCAAAAGGTTTGAGCAGTATATCTTCTGCTGTTAGTCTAAGATCATACATCGGACTGTTAATCGTGTGAAATGTGCAGGCTTGTTACACAGTTGGTGGCCAGTCCTTCAGTGCAGCAGAAATAGAGTTTGTGATTCTAAAGATGAAGACTCCAGTGCATCGGCCCCAACTTGTATAACTTGTTTCTCCATCCTAGTCTTCGCCTTCTGGGCTTTATTGTCTTGTCTCTTATTTTGCTTTTGCTTTCTTTTAGTCTTTGATGTTGGCTCTGAATAAGTTCAAGATTACTGAGGATCACAAGAAGTACTCAATCGATGAATTTGAACCCCTTTTGTTGTTTGGACTTAGCTGTGGAATGTTCTCTTCTCCTGCTGTAAGTATGCCTGCTAATCTTACTCCTGTTAAGATGTGCATGTGCTTCAGCAAATTCGTCACTTAATAAGTTGTTGGACAAACTAGAGCCATGCTTGTCCTTCAGTGTGCTATCCTTGTCCTAGCCAAGACCTGGCATCCTTCAGATTTCTTTGTCCAATTTATCGTTGCTTGAGCTGGATGATTATAAGATTGCTAAAACTAAGTTATCTATATCCACGTTGCTGGGTCACCCTGTTGTGGTACAGGTACGTATTTTCTCCGCTGCAAATGTCAGGCAGGAGCTCCAGGAATCTTTGAGAGACTATATTCAAGCGACTGTTGGTACAAATGACAAAGGGAAACTGCTTATCCCAAAGTTAGTGCAGAGCTATGCCAAGGGAGCTGTTGAAGACTCTCTGCTTGCAGACTGGATCTGCCATCACCTTGCTCCTGATCAAGCTGCAGTCATCCGAGATTCTTCTTCACAGAGGAAGCAGCGGCTTCTTGGATTTCGAGGTTTCACTGTTCTCGCATTTGACTCGAAGTTTCGGTATCTCTTCTTGCCTGACAGCAGTGGCTCTCAGAAGCTAGAGGCAAAACAATCTTACAAACTTCCTGAGCCGTGTTCAAAATAGATAATAAAAACTCAGTTGGTATATTTGGGCCATAATACCATTCTTTGCATAGCGGGACATGGGATTGGTGGTTGTATATGATGTAAATTTTGAAGAAGGAAAGTATATCATTCAACCAAGCTCAGAGATAGCTTGGAATTGCCGTGTTTGCAAAATCAGATCCTGTTTGCAGAGTTGGTGAGAATTTGGGGTTGTATTGTTTTTTTCGTATTCACTTGCCTTTCATACTGAAGATAAACATCCTTTTGTTGTTTCTTCTTTTTTTCTGCATACCTTTTTTCTCTTTTTTTTTAAGCTCTTTATTCAATTGGTCTGTAACTTCTGCACAAATAAAGGTGGTGAGCAGTCTTTACTTTGGTTTCTCTGCATAACTGATCTGCAATTGATCTGTAACTTTCTCCATACCTATATGGTACGTTTTCATTGCAAATCTTCACTTTGGTTTCTCTGCTTGAATGGGGTGAGAAGTCTGCACATAGCGGTTGGTGGTGTTTACTACTCCTACTCAATGTCAATCTCTTATATTCTTCTTCTTAATGCATGCTGTACCTGGTCTGAAAGGGATTTGTCTCCCTCCATTTTGCACCTAAATATAAAATATTGTCAACGATAATAAATTTTTTGGAAAACATCTTTTGTGTGTGATTTCTACACACACAAAAGTACAATTCCTTTTGTATTTATTGTTTAGTGAGCATGTAACCTTTTAGGTGTAAATTAAATCCTTATATAGTGAGGACGAGTAAAACACATGCTGTACACTGTAAATAAAATCCAACATCCTCAGGAGCTGCTAAACCTTAACATTATGTTAAAACCTCTGCTTTTGAAATTGTTACCAATTTATCTGTGATGGATATTTTTGCATCCCAAATTTCGGAGGTTGCAGATTGCTAGGCAAAAAAGTTATCGGTGTGCATGGATTCTGTTTGTTGTGCTAGCAAAAAATTATAATCCTAGGGTTGATTAAAGAAATGCTAGCAAAAAGCAACATAAGTCTGGAACACAAAGCACAAACCCAAACAGCAATCTGAGCACAAGCATTAAACCAATTAGAATTTACTTTAGAAGAGTTCCACGAAACCAAGAACCGGACAAAGCCAAAGAAAGACGAATCAAATGCATCTAGCTTTATTTTTCATCAATTTGAATATTCATACAAATTACAATTTTCGCATATATGCAAATAGATTGACAAAAAAAAATGGTCCCATCATCCATCGCCTCACATGTAGTAAACGATAATGATATACACACTACCAACCTGCTGGCATTATTATTTTTGGGACCACACCTTTTCTGATTTCCAAGTTGGGGAAAAACATTCAATAAAGCAATTGAATGGGTCATTACAGAATCAAACTGAAACTCAAGGTTTCTGTGGGAATTTGGAGAAATCCGAGCGTCGTCTCTCCATGTACGCATTCTTCCCTTCCTTTGCTTTCTCAGTGCCGTAGAATATCAGGGTGGCATTCTCGCCAAGCTCCTGCAGCAGCGGCGTCGTCACTCGTCAGTAGTTCAACACACAAACAAAAGCTTAACTGGCTTTGTCTGTCAAGTTATACCTGAAGACCTGCATGGCCGTCATCAGCCGCTTTGAGTGCAGATTTCAGCACCCGATGGCCATGGGGTTGTTCCTTAAGATCTGCCTGCACCATTTGACAGTTTCCGCTCCAGTTGAGCAAGCTACGTGTACAGAAGCAGTGTACTTGTTAGTGCATCAGCAGGATCCAAACAGTTTGTTTTTCGGTAACTAATGATAGTTTTCAGCACTCACTGGCACCACAATGTTCACAAGTCCCATTTTGTCGGCTTCATCAGCTGTATAGAACCGCGACAGAAACCACATCTCACGGGCCCTCTTTGGTCCAACCTGTGCAACAGGGAAAGAATTGGACCAAGAATAGCATGCTACTTATATCATGTATATGGTGGTAATATGAAAATTAAATGCAATACTGGTCTACAACTCAAAATGCTTGATGGGACAAACTGTCCTAGACAATGTGTTATTCATACCACTCTTTTGGGTATTGAAGGAGTTTTGGTTCTTTTTTCGAACAATGTGTGATAGGAGTAATGTCTCACTATAACTAGATTGATATGTGTTCAAAGCAAGGAACCAAAAGACCAACATGATAACTCACCAACCGGGACATTATTGAAGACCCGTAACCAGCCTGTGATAGGAAGTACAAAATGGGATGTTAAATACATCATGTTTACTGTTATGGTAAAAAGAAGAATAAAAAGATTAGTTAATAAACATAGAAAGAGTAATTCTATTTCATTTTATCGGTATTTGGTATTATATGCATCCTATACACCAAGATACAAAATAGACCAGCTGAAAATAAGCTTGGGCCCTGTCTGCCCAAATATCGCATTTCTGCTGTAATTGTTTTATCACACACCATATGCAAAACATGCCCACCACCAACAGCATAACCAGCAACCTGATAGTAAATGATGACAATAAATTCAGTCTATAAGATAAAGTATAGAAATAGGAAAAGGCGAATAACAGTGATAATAATACCATAGCAATAACAGGCTTTGGAAGACGACGAATTTGCACCTGAAGAAATGATTCATCTGATGTTCTTAGTATAAAAATAATAACTCCTAATGTCTTATGAACTAAAAGATTACGTATCATTTTACACACTAATACTACAAGTGCCAACATGACAAGCAAAATCTGCTCCAATCTTGCAAATCAACTAAGCGGGACATCAACATATATTTAGTAGTCAGGAATTCTAGTCAGACTATACATTATCATATTCTGTGTCGAAGCTGAACGATGTAAATCAATTCAAACCTTAATAAAGAAACCACCTACACTACAAGTGGAAAGAACGCCTGCATTGCGTGTAAAGAAATCATTGATAGAAGACGTGCATTATTAAAAAGAAAAAAGAATTCCGCCTCAAAAGAAAAGTTCAACGCAACAACGATTCTCTTTCAGAAAACAAAATTTGTGCCCCATAACTTATCAAGTTTATTTACTCATGCATAAAAGTGTCAAAGAGGTGTGTCTGACCTGGAGATCTAGAACGTTGAGGCGACCGAAGCTATCGAAGTCAACATACCCATCAGAATCTCTTAACGCCTGGTCACCGCCGCTGCAGAACGCCTCGGTTCCCTGGTCAGCCAAAACATCGAAAATAAGCTCATCTCCGACACCGACAGTGAGCAAACCCAGCTCCATTATCCTCCATGGACGCGGAAATGCTTTTGTTTTTTTGGAACTATCATCTCTAGCGTTGGTGGTAGTGGTACCTTCCCTGCCTGTAAGAATGATGACTCCAATGGAACTATCATCTCTAGCGTCGTTCCTTCTATTTGGCCGGTTTATGGTGATCTGCAGCAGCGATGATACATATGCATTGGACAGAACATGGAATGCAAGACGCTCGTAATTGTAATCCGTAATCAACAAACGGTTAAAGTTCTTGCGTTGGGAGAATCCACAATCCAGCAGCAGCACTTTTGCCAGGAATCCAAAGCTTCACAAGGATGTCGAGGTCCACGGAAGAAAGAATCCTCCTCACCTTGGCGATGCCCTCTCCCACGGCCTTCTCGTAGACGATGTCGACGAACTCCTTCCCCGACTCGTCCGTGGCGGCGCGCCGCTCCGGTGGCTCCGAGTGAAAAGTACACTACAAAATGTCCAGAGTGAATCAGTGAATTACATCAACAGTTGATAGTTGTATCACTTTGATCTAACAAGTTACAAAACGTGCAAACGGATGCACAAACTTGTCAAATATATGTATGCACGGATGTACATACGCCACCATTGCATATTTTGCTGTCGTGGCATGGTAACGTGGACTGCTAGAGATATAGGGCCAAAATGCAAGTTTGTGCTTTGCATGTTTGCCATAACTTGTTACACGTTTCAGACAACACAAATATCGTATTTTGAGAACTCTGAAAATCTCTCGACATCGTTTAACAAATACAAGTTTTGTACATTGTTGCCCATAGTGGTCATGAACTAAACAAATATAAGATGTACGCTCTATGAAATTTAGTATAAAGCATTAATATTCAATACAAACTGATATTTGGTATAGGATTTCTCAGCTAAAGAATAACATTACATTTAGTATAGCCGTTGATCGCTTGGTTAATACGAACAGCTAAGGAGCGCAAATTTTCAATTTGGCACTTTTGTCTCCCGTAGACCTAACTGAAAGCGGATTGATAATCACGCAATAATTATATTCACTGATCAATCGTAATACATATAGGACTTGCCATCAAGAGCAAGCGAACCTGGCCGAACGTACGTCGGCTCTATGCGTGTATGGGCCTGTAGCAATTAGGCTCAATGACATGATTACAAGATGCTAATCGAAAGGCCTAATAAATCTGTCTAACACTAACCAGCAGTCCACGTGACCCTGTCATGGTAGCAAGATATGGTGTGTGGTGTACGTTTGATCATACATGCACGTATTTTACAAGTTCATGTATTTGTTTGCATGTTTCGTAACTTGTTGGACCAAAGTGATACAACCATACAAGCTGATGTATGGTTGGTGCAATTTACTCAAATGTGTCATCAACTGTGTCTGTCTGGGAAATTAAAAGGGCTTATTTGGATTCGCTCTAGTTTTCCATGTCAGTTTTTTTTAGAAAACATTTTGTTGTCATCACAACTCTAATTCACCAAACTTCTAACCCATCAATCATTTTTTCATTAAAGTTTGCACAAAGAAATATGTGAAATGATACGTAATGTAAGCTTGAAAAATATGTGAAAGAAGTATACTGAACCTCCTTGTTTCTTGTCGGCTTTTTAGCTTTTCAGTTCCAGGGGTTGAGATGAGTTTGAAACTTCGAATCTACGGGCGGGCGGGCGGGCGGCTATGAGCCTGTGACCTGGTGGCGAGCCTTGCAGCTCGTCCGCTCAGAAAAACAGAATTTCCTCCCTGCAGCGACTGGAAAAGAAAGACGCTGGCAGCCCCAACAGGCAACAACACACGGGGATTCCCTCGGAAGCTCACAGAACATCTGACCCCTGTTTCCCAGGCTCCTCTGTCTTACATCAGCAATTCCAACTACTGCAAAGTCTCTTGCTCACATTGATACTCCTACTTTATAGACAAAATAATTTCCATAATGAATCTAGTAAGAGGGTGTTTGATCCCCCGGACAAACCCCTGTCACATCAATTATTTGGGTATCAATTAGAAGTATTAAACATAGATTAATTACAAAATTAATTGCATAAATGGATATTAATTCGTGAGACGAATCTAATAAGCCTAATTACTCTATGATTTGCCCATATGATGCTAATCATAGATTAATTAGACTTAATAGATTTGGCTCGCAAATTAGCATTGGTTTATGCAATTAGTTGTTTATGTTTGGTATTCTTTTCTCCTACATTTCAACAGCAATGATGCATACTGAAAATGTTCTGCAAGTTGCAACCTTTCATGTCTGGTCTGTGCACTATCGCATTCGAATATGTTCTGGTCTCTGCGCTATTGCATTCGGGTAATCTATTTAAATTTAATTTCCAAATGTCATTGCAGGGAGGTTTTCCTGGATGCTGCAAAAAGGTGGGCATAGAAGGAGAAGAACTGCTCCAAGATGCTACCAATGGAGTTGATGAGGTATATTTTCAAGTGATCTCTTTCCCTCTAGCCATATATTCTCTTCTGGAAGGCTCTCATGTCATTTTTGCTCCAAAAGGTTCGGGAAGAACTCAACAAGTATTCATCTGACACAGTGGTATGTGGATTAGGCAATAGTTCTATTTACGTCTCGTTTCCAGTCAGCCGCTAGCAACTTATCCATTGCTGTTCACTGCACTGTGTTTCTTTCAGATTAATGGAAAATATCAACTCAATGGTGGCCAGCCCTCAAATATATTGTCGAGGGCCTTTGAGATGGCAGCAAAACACTACTACAGCAAAACACTAATCTAGCCATGCCAAACCTTGGAGTCTTCGGCAATTTAGGTTTTTTATTTTATTTTATTTATTACCATGGATGGCCTTTTAGGTTGCATATTGGTTGTTAAGAACTTGATAGCGTGTCACCTTTGTGCGCGTCATTATAGGCCTTTTAGGTTGCATATTGGTCGTTAAGAACTTTACAGTGTGTCATCGTTTTTCTAGGGGTTGGCTTTTATGGGTCTTACACTCATTTTATCACTGTGGAGGTTCTTTCTAGTCTTTCACCAAACTTATCTCGGCGAAGAGACCTCGTTGATCTCAAATTAGTAGCGTGGAACAATTTGTTACCCCGTATTGCTAATATAGAGTTGGCCCATGAAAGCATCTAGGCCTCTAGTTGAATTTCGGTGATTAATGACGACATAAGATTACTATGACTAACGTGTGTTTTGTAGAGGCAATTTGAGTTAGGTCATGGTAATGGAAATTGATTGGACAATCATGGTTGTCATGCCTCTGTTGATGGAAATCGTTTCGGTTTTCGAAGGATGGACGACAAGATTAATGACGGACTAGTTATAAGTGTCGTTTGGTGTTGGAGAGACACTTAGAGTAGTTAGAATCTAGTTTTTCTTTGGCCGTACTATTAAGGGGTATAGACTAGTAGCTTGACCTAGGTAAGTCTAGTGGGTTAGGTGTGGTGCATACTTATCAAACCTAGCACTAGGTAGCTCAGGAATAACCCTAAGATTAATTGGAGTAAACTTCGTTCACATAGGATTTCGAGTTGAAAGTGAATGAAGGGTCAAATGATTAACCGGACGCTGGTCTGGTTGTGACCGGACGCTGGAGGGTGAGTCCGGTCAGTTCATTTGATCAACTGGAGTCGTCTGGAACTGACCGGACGCTGAGTGAAAGTGGACCGGACGATGGTTACCTGCGTCCGATTAACTCCAGAGAGGTTCAAGAGAGACTGTTTCGTGACCGGACGCGTTCGGTCGGTGCTGACCAGACGACTGGTCAGAATCCGGTAACTGCCCGGACACTGAATAGTGAAGTGGCCGGACTCTGGGTGCCAGTATCCGGTCAACATCAGTAAGGTTCTAGAGAGCGTTTTTCTTGACCGGACGCGTCTAGTCAGTGCTGACCGGACGTTGGTTAGAGTCCGGTCAAAACTTAACGGCTCTTTCTGACACAGTGACATGTATAACTGACCGGAGCGTCCGGTCACACTGACCGGAGCATCTAGTCACCCCGCAGAACGCTGACTCAGCCACCAAACGTTATGTTTTGAATAAGGGAGGTATAAATACTTACTCCACTCGTCTAACGGAGGTCTCTTGCTCACGAAACCAAGAACCGAAGAAAGCCAAAGAAAGGTGAATCAAATGCATCTAGCTTTATTTTCCATCGATTTGAATATTCATACAAATTACATTTTTCGCATATGTGCAAATAGATTGACAAAAAAATGGTCCCATCATCCAGCGCCTCGCATCTAGTAAACGATAATGATATACACACTACCTACCTGCTGGCATTATTATTTTGTGAGTTGTGACCACTCCTTTTCTCATTTCCAAGTTGGGAAAAATATTCAGTAAAGTAATTGAATAGGTCATTACAGAATCAAACTGAAACTCAAGGCTTCCGTGGGAATTTGGAGAAATCGGGGCGTCGTCTCTCCATGTACGCGTTCTTCCCTTCCTTTGCCTCCTCAGTGCCGTAGAATATCAGGGTGGCATTCCCGCCAAGCTCCTGCAGCAGCGGCGTCGTCACTCGTCAGTAGTTCACCACACAAAACAGAAGCTTAAATTGGCTTTGGCAAGCTATACCTGAAGACCTGCATGGCCGTCATCAGCAGCATTGAGTGCAGATTTCAGCACCCGGATGGCCATGGGGCTGTTCCTTAAGATCTGCCTGCACCATTTGACAGTTTCTTGCTCCAGTTGAGCAAGCTGCATGTACAGAAGCAGTGTACTTGTCAGTGCATCAGCAGGATCCAAACAGTTTGTTTTTTGGTAACTAATTAATGATAGATTTCTGCACTCACTGGCACCACAATGTTCACAAGTCCCATTTTGTCAGCTTCATCAGCTGTATAGAACCGCGACAGAAACCACATCTCACGGGCTCTCTTCGGTCCAACCTGTGCACGAGGGAAATAATTGGATTTGGACAGAGAATACCATGCTATTTATATCATGTATATGCTGATAATATGAAAAATGCAATACTGGTCCACGACTCAAAACACTTGATGGGATGATATGTTATTCAGAAGAAACTCTTTGGGGGTATTGAAGGTGCTTTGTTTCTTTTTCTGAACAATGTATGATAGGAGTAATGTCTCACTAGAACTAGATTGAAATGTGTTGTAGCTAGGACACCGTGACGAACATCTGAGCAAGTAACCGATAGATCAGCATGATAACTCACCAACCGGGACATTATTGAAGATCCGTAACCAGCATCAAAGCTTCCAACCTGTGATACGAAGTACAAGATGGGATGTTAAATATACATCATGTTTACTGTTACGGTTAAAGAAAGGAAAATGATTAGTTAATAAACATAAAAAAGGTAATTCTAGAAGGACACTGATTATTTCACTTTATTGGTATTTGGCATTATCTGCATCCTATACACCAAGATACAAAATAGACCAGAAAATCACCTTGGGCCCTGTCTGCCCAAATATCGCATTGTCTGCTGCAATTGTTATGTCACACACCATATGCAAGACATGCCCACCACCAACAGCATAACCAGCAACCTGATAGTAAATGATGACAGGAAATCAGTGTATAAGATAAGATGAAGTAAGGAAATAGGAAAAGATGAATAACAATGATGATAATCATACCATAGCAATAACAGGCTTTGGAAGACGGCGAATTTGCACCTGAAGAAATGATTCATCTGATTTTCTTAGTATTAACGATAGAGTGCTAATGTCTTATGAACTAAAAGATTATCATTTAATTTTACACACTAAGACTACAAGTGGCAACATGACAAACAAAATCCGCTCCTGCAAATTTACTAAGCGGGACATCAGCATATATATTCAGTAGTCAGGAATTCTAGTCAAACTATCTATCATCATATTATGTGTTGAAGCTGAACGATGTAAATCAATTCAAACCTACTAAAGAAATCACCTGCACTACAAGTGGACACCTGCATTGCGCGTAAAGAAATCATTGATAGAAGACGTGCAATTTTTCTAAAAAATAATTCATTCTCAAAAGAAAAGTTCAGCACAACAACGATTCTCTTACAGAAAACAATAATCATGCCTCATAACTTATCAAGTTTATTTACTCATGCATAAAAGTGTCGAAGAGGTGCGGTCTGACCTGGAGATCTAGAACGTTGAGGCGGCCGAAGCTATCGAAGTCAACGTATCCATCAGAATCTCTTAACGCCTGGTCACCGCCGCTGCAGAACGCCTCGGTTCCCTGGTCAACCAAAACATCCAAAATAAGCTTATCTTATCTCCGACAGCTAACCCAGCTCCACAAATGTTTCTTCTTCTTCTTTTGTTTCTCCTCTAAAAGCATCGGTAGTAGTAGTACCTTCCCTGTAAGAATGATGACTCCAATGGAACTATCATCTCTAGCATCGTTGAATGCGCGCATAAGCTCCTTCACGGTCAGCGGACGGAACGCGTTTCTTCTGTTTGGCCGGTTTATGGTGATCTACAGCAGCAATACATACGCATCATTGAACAGAACACCAAATGCAAGACCCGTGTAACTGTAATTGTAATCCATAAGCAGCGAACGATTAAAGTTCTTGGAAATCCACAATCGAGCAGCTGCACTGTTGACAGGAATTGAATCCAAAACTTCACAAAGGATGTCGACGGAAGCAGGGAGACTCACCTTGGCGATGCCCTCTCCTACGGCCTTCTCGTAGACGATGTCGACGAACTCCTTCCCCGACTCGTCCGTGGCGGCGCGCCACTCCGGTGGCTCCGACGGCACGTCGCCGTGTACGCGCCGGTAGCTGTCCCTCGCCGGCGAGGACGACGACGACGACGACGACGCTGCCGTGGAGGAAGGCGCCAGGGGAGGGACGGTGGCGTGCGTAACCGGGAACGACGACGACGGAACGAGGTGGGCGGCGACGCGGGCCAGCCTCCTCCCCGCAGCGTCGGCCATGGCGAGAGCTAGCCAAGGTTATCCGTATCGCTTTGCAGCTGCCTTCTGACTTCTGAGGAACCAATTCCGACCGCAGAGGATATCATCCTGCCTGCTGGACCAGGAGGACGGCGTGGTTAGAATTGTTGGATTTAATTAGAGGGACATGCATGTGCACGCGGAGTCACGTTGAGTGCTGTCATTTGCTTCACCAGGATGACGATAATGATATTTCAACGGTTATAAAAACAAATGATATTTTAACGCACTCCTTTTGTGTTTGGGATTTTTAAACTTAGATAAAAGTAAAATTCATTATTGAGTTAACGTGTATAACCTTTTATGTGTTAAATCAAATCATTATATAGTAGTGAGGAGGACTTGAGAGGAAAACACACGGTATAAGTTAAGATTAATTAGGTCCTGTTTGATCCCATGGTGAAGCTTTAGCCCTGCACTTTTAGCTTTTTTTTAGCTATGAGATCAAACAGGGGGCTAAAAGTGAGCAAATGGTTAAAAATTGGGCTAAAATCTTTTGCTCCAAAGAGGCCATAAACTGGGCTAAACTCCCTCGTGGCGGGCGCTGGACGCCCTATACCCTATTGCCGCTCACATGTATGGTTGTGCATGGATAATTAAATGAGGATAAATCAGTCATTTATAGATTAGTGGACTAAAATTTAGCCCATAGATCCAAATAGTCCAACAGGACTAAAGTTTAGAGAACTAATGATCCAAACACCACCTTATTTAGTGATCAAAATGTTAATCTCCTCATTAGCAACTAGTAATGATGGTTCCTGTAGACAAGATAGATAGACACCTTTTCACTGAGTCACTGACAACCTGTTGTATATATATACATGTACTGTTCATCAATGAGAGACATCGGTAATTTTCACCTATGCGACATTTTTCACTCAACACGTTATTACACACTGCTCTCCACTGTCGCTAAGACGCCAGAAGAGGGAGAAAGGAGTTAAACCTTAACATTATGTTAAAATAAAAATCCTACTTTTAAAATTGTTACCAATTTATTTATTTATCTTTTTTTGAGAAATATTTATTTATTTATCAGTGAATGACATTTTCCCACCACAAACTTTGGAAGTTGCAGATTACTGAAAAAAAACTGTCCTCCCCCCTCCCCTAGAAAAAGGAGAAAATATGCACTTTTTTCTGGGCCAAGATGGCCGATGTTGCTCAATTTCACTGCTCAATACTTCATATAGGGGCTTCTCGTGGACCCATCCTTCCAGTCCCCAACCTTATCTCTCCCGTTTTTGTTCTTCTTTTCCGAGATGAATTTCCTCACAGGTGAACGGCGGCGCTGTCGTCCGCGGGAACCCGAGCAGACACACGGAAATTCAACGGCACTCTTACTGAGGTAGGGTGCTTCCCATATGCTCGCTGATTGCGATGTGTTAGCAGTAATGTCCTTGGGGCTACATTTTCTATTATGCCCTACTGCGGATACGTTGAGATGGTATGAGGCTATGAGCTGATAGGGTTCAGCATAGGACTCGAATCTGAGGTCGCTGCTTCATGCATAGGATAGAGACGCAGTACATGGAGATCCTTCACGGTTCGGGAATCAGTCATCGATTTGCCCATTTTGTTATTGTTGGTGACACTTTACTTTCCTTTGCATTTCTATTCTAGGAGCATTTTGTTATTGGTGGTGACACTTTACTTTACTTTCCTTCATGTTTTTTTTATGAAACAGGAGGGGTGGAGCCCCTACTGGAATTTTATTAAAGTATATACAAAGTTTTACAGAGTCTTACAACAAACTGATCAAGACACATAAAAAGTGAGAAAGAAAATAGCAAGAATTACACAAAGTTGTCTAGCCATTGATCTATGAAAGGGTGAAAACATGCTTTTGCTCTTAGAATAACTAGAGCAAATTCTTTTCTGAAAACACTTCTGCATCTTTGAACTGAGTGTGCAAGATTTCTGAAGATGATATCATTTCTCATAATCCAAATGGCCCAACACATTGTGACAATGATCTCCATGAAGAAAGGTACCCTTAACTGATATCTGATGCCTTCCAAAATGAGAAAGATATCTTCAGAATTTGGTATAACTAGGCGAATACCCCGCGTGTTGCTGTGGAAATTGCTGATGATTTGGAATAAAATTACTTATACAAAGGGATCAACAATTATAAGTTAATGTTAGTGGATGACGTGGCACGCTGATGTGGACAACTAAATGCATGTTAGTGGATGATGTGTCTTGTTGATATATAGATCATAATTGCAAATGCTAGTTGGTCATAAATGCATTCGATAGTGGACTGATTAGGTGGACAGCTTGCATGTTTAGAGAAATAGCTAGTGGGGTTTAGCTTGATAGAGTTTATAGATAACATTTAGGCTAAACTAGCAAGCCATAGCAAAAGGGCAATGAAAGAGCATATGAAGCAAGTCCTCTTCAACGACGAGGGTGCAAAAAACACAATTATGATCCTCAAGATGCATGCCCCGACATCTCAGTAAAGCTCTGGTACTCAATCTATCTTTTAAAATAAGCCAAAAGAAGAACTTATTTTGTTTTGACATGCAGATGCCCACAACCATCGATGAGATATATGTATCTGACGATGACCAATCAACTGCCTATAGGCCTGTCTTGATAAATAGAGAGAAGAACCCCAAACATAAGACGAAACATAAGATGATTGAGTGAGTTGGAGTGACTGAAGAGCACTGGACAACTCCTGAAACTATCCATAAGACTCAATGGACAAAGGAAGATGGAAGATTTTGAAGTGGAACTGTAGAGACAGCCATACTTAAAGAAATATGTTGGGATTTGGCATAGGTAAAAAGCTCAGGGCAAAACTGATTATAGATTCTCTCATTCCAGAGATCAAACCAAAGGAAACAGGTAGAGCCATCCTGTAAATTGATCCTTGCTATACTTTTATAAGAATCAAGCATCTTTAGAATATCTCTCCACCAAAAGGAACCTCTTATTCTTCTGCCTGAAATGGGCAAGTTATTTCTAGAATAATAGTGATCCCACTGTTGCAAGTAAGTAACTAGACAAATGGAATTTCTCTTGCCAGAGGGCAGCTTGGCACTTAGCCGCTTGATTGCATTATATAGGAAAAGCAAACTTGGGATACAAGAAGTTCTCAACTACTACAACATACTCTAGTGTATAAAGTAGATGCTAGCTTGGATGCTAAGGCACCTGAAAACAGCTAGACAGTGAATAGTAAATAGCTAAGTTGATAACTAGATACATGGGTAAGCACTAGGCTAAACCCTCAATTCTCCCCCTTAGCCTTGTGTCCTGCCTTGGGAATGATCTGCCTCAGACCAATTCTCTCCCTCATCTCTTCAAATTTGGCTCTGCCCAAGGATTTGGTGAGAATGTCTGCAAGCTGATCAGTAGTTGAGATGTGATCGGCCTTGATGCTTCCATCTTCCAGGTAGCTGCGGATGAAGTGGTACTTGATCCTTATGTGCTTGCTCCTTTCATGGAAGACTGGATTCTTGGCCAGAGCGAGGGCCGACTTGCTGTCCACCTTCAGCTCCACCACCTCGACATGCCCCACCACCTCGACATGCCTGCCGAGGAGCTCTGCTAGCAGCCTTTAGAGCCATAGAGCCTGGGTTGCAGCAGTAGAAGTGGCAATGTACTCTGCTTCGCAGTTGGAGAGCGCCACCACCTTCTGCTTGATTGATTGCCAGCTGACCAAGCAATTGTCAAGGAAGAAGAGTGTTCCACTCGTGCTCTTGCTTGTGTCGATGTCGCCGGTGAGGTCACTATCGCAGTAGCCGACGAAGCGAGCAGAGCCGGGTGCCTTGGTGAAGTGCAGACCGTAGTTGAGCGTGCCAGCGACATAGTGGAGAATGCGCTTGATAGCTTGTTGGTGCTCCACCGTAGGCCGCTCCATGAACCTGCTGACAAAGCCAACAACGAATGCCAGATTGGGGCGAGTATGCACCAGGTAGCGCAGACTACCGATGAGGTGCCGATAGTGTGTGGGATCGACCTCCGCCGTTGTGCTGTGCCTGCTAAGCCTTAGCCGCTTCTCCATTGGAGTATGGGCAGGGTTGCAGCCAGCCATTCCGCTGAGCTCCAGAATCCTGTTGGCATAATGTGTCTGACGGAGGGTGATGCCGGTGGCATCTTGATGCACCTCAACGCCGAGGTAGAAGCTGAGGAGGCTAAGGTCACTCATATCGAAAATCTTCTTCATCTGAGCCTTGAACGCCTCCACCTCTCGATGCTCTGCGCCGGTGATGATCAGATCATCGACGTAGACGCTGACGAGCAGGACAGAGCGTCCACTGCCTCGCCGGTACATCGCCGCCTCGTGAGCACTTTGCTAGAAGCCCATCTCCTTGAGTGTGGCATCTAGCTTGGCGTTCCAGGCGCGCAAAGCCTGCCGCAGGCCGTAGAGGGCCTTGCGGAGACGGTAGACCTTCCCCTCTTCTCCGGCGACGACAAAGCCGGGCGATTGCTGCACGTATACCTCCTCCTTGAGGTCGCCGTTAAGGAAGGACGATTTGACATCCATGTGATGGACGCGCTAGCCTTCTTGAGCCGCCAGCGCGAAGAGGCCCCTGACGGATTACATGCGCGCCACCGGAGCAAATGCGTCATCGTAGTCCACCCCTTCTTGCTGAACGAAGCTGCGCGCCACAAGTATTGCCTTGTGCTTGATCACCGCGCCCACCTCATCCTTCTTGAGCTTGAACACCCACTTTAGAGTGATGGGCCGGTGACCGACAGGGAGAGGCACCAGCTCCTAGGTCCGGTACTGCTCCACCGCCTTGAGCTCTTGCTCCATTGCCGCCCGCCATGCCGAATCATCCTTGGCCTCGGCGTAGTTGGCAGGCTCATTGGCGTGTGTGAGGTGAAGCTCGGCGAAGAGGCGTTGAGGCGACGGAGGAGGAGGATGGTCACCGATGATGTTCGTCATCATGCGGTATCACAACGGCTCATCGTCGTAGTAGGCGTTGAATCTGTCTTCATCATCCTCTAGTGGAGTG